CGACGGAGCGTTCAGAGCCGGCGCACCTGAAAAGACAGCCCGTGCGCGGCTGCGCGGGCCCTGGGAACTTCCCCCAGGACCGATTCTTCATCCTGAGCTGTTTTCTGACCGTCCTGGCGCCCGGCGAGGGCCCCTGGACGCCCAAGACGGTGAAACATCTCAGGACCCGTTTCCCTCAGGATCAATCTCCTCCATGGCGAACGTTTTTCGGCTACGCGTAAGACCGACCCTGGGCAAGAGCGGCCTTTGGTGCGCGACTTTCGGGGGCCGCGGGGAGGTCGAAACTGGAGCGCACAAGCTGCTGCTATCGCATCGCATTCAGCCATCTGGGAATCCCAGTTGGGCCGAACCCAAATCTCGCTCCGGCGAAAGGTCACTCCTGTCGTTCACTGGCTGACTTGCCCCCTTAGATGGGGAGGCTGCCCCCTTCGGGTCTCGAGGGGCATATCTCCTGGGATGGTGGGATGGTGGGGCTCGGGATAGGGATCGGCAGAACGATACCCATCGGTCGGACGAAATGGGTAGAAACATGACGAGGACCACGAACCGACATTTCGAGCTTCCCGCCCCAAGAAACTCCTGGACAGCCCCAAGAGCCCCTCAAGAGGCCCCCAAGAGACTCCCAAGAGGCCCAACAGAGGCCCCCGCAGGCCCGGAAACATCCAAGAGGCCTTTCAACCACAACCCCAGCACGGTGGCGGGAAGGGCCGCAGGCCACAAGGCTCCCTGCCTGTCTCTGCTACGACTCCCTCGACCCACATGGGGAACATCTCCTTCGCCTTCTCCTGCTCTCTTCCACCTTGATCCCCCTCCTCCTCCTCCTCCTCCTCCTCCTCCTCCTCCTCCTCCTAATATTCGTCGTCGTCTTCAGGGTCGGCGGCACCGGCCGTAAGGCCTCAGCAATAGGTAGAAACATGAAGTAGGAAATCGTTGAAAAAAGATTGGGTTTCCGCCCGGCCCCCCAACGATGAGAGAAGAGGGTAGCACGCTCGTTGATTGAAGTAGGAAGGTGCCTAAAGTAGATTGGGATTTCGGAACCCACGAGTACGTACTTTCAGCGACCGATGGGTATTGACATTTCTCCTGCGTGCATGGCGGGATGAAGCTGGCCCAACCCCCAACCCACCCCCTCCCGGCCACGAAATCGCGGCAGGACGCGGCAGACCCTCGGAGCAGGCCGCTCGTCGGGGAGCACAGCAGCAACCATGCCCCGCGAACACACACACACACACACACACACGCACACACACACACACAACACACAACACACACACACGCACGCACGCACGCAGGCAGGCACGCACGCGCGCGCACGCACGCACGCACGCACGCACGCACGCACGCACGCACGCACGCCCCCCCCTCCCCCCCCCCCCCCCCCCCCACACACACACACACGCACACACGCACACAGCACACAGGCACACGCGCACACGCGCACACACGCACACGCACGCACATGCACACGCACACGCACACACGCACACACGCACACAGCACACACGCACACACGCACACACGCACACACGCACACACGCACACACGCACACACGCACACACGCACACACGCACACACGCACACACGCACACACGCACACACGCACACACGCACACACGCACACACACGCACACACAACACACACACACACACGCGCACACGCGCACGCGCACGCGCACGCGCGCACGCGCACGCGCACGCGCACGCGCACGCGCACGCGCACGCACACGCACACGCACACGTACACGCACCCCCACACCCAACACAACACACACACACACACAACACACACATACGCAACACACACACACACACGCACACGCGCACGCACACGCACACGCACACCCACACGCATGCAAAATCAGTCAGCAACGAATCGGGGACCCGGGTAGAATCCGAACGAGCGCCGCATCGGAAGGCATCGACACGGAGTCAAAACGAATCGGATCGGCTGTGCCAGAATGAATAGCATCGCCGTGTGAGCATTGGGCTTCATCCGATCGCCCGAAAATCGGGATCGAATCGAATCGGGTCTGCCCCAGTTCATACCGAAATGGACCGTGGACAAGCAAAGATGCCACAAAGAACACCAGTGAGGCTCCCAAAACGGCCCAAGAGGGCTTCAAGGCTTCAAGAGGAACCTAAGACGGGCCCGAGAGAGGGAAAACAAACAGCCCTTTCGAGCCCTCTGCCCCGAAAAACCCATGACTGCTCACGCAAGGCTTCAAGGAAACGACCACCACACATCAGTGCTGCGGGGGCAACGAACCCGCAAGAAAACGCTCGCGATGGAATAGTGCGGGCCACCGGACTGAACGCAACGAACGACTACATCATTGCGTAAACGTCAACTTTTGGAAATCCGCGCGGGTTCCTCGGATCTGCGCTGAAACCCCCAGGCGGCGCCTCCGGAGCCGCTGGCAGGATTCGCGTGCGCCGCCCCTCGGAGAAAGGGTAGAGAACAAGGACGGGGTTCACAAGGATCGGGGAGCTGGCCGACGCAAGCTGCCCGACAACGTCAGATGTCCCACAACGCTCCGCCGCTGCCTGCACTAGCGCACGAACTGTCCCTCATTGCGTGTGCGGCGCTGATAGGGCATGTTTCCCCAGAGTGAAGTAAGAGCGGCTTCTGGAATTTCCAGAAGCCGCCCTTCGTGCCCCGCGTTCGTGCTGACCCCGCGGGCCCGGAAAGGGCGCGGAAACGGGACCGCCTCGTGGCCACGTTCTACTCTCTCATCCGCTAAGATGGAAACCGTTTTCCTCGGGGGCCTTCTGGGGACGCCCCGGGTGCTCGCGCAGGCGTGGCCTCATAAACGTTGCATGTCTTGAGGTATTCTCTCGGTTGTGTAAAATAATATGCGGGACGCTGTCGCTCCGTGGCCACCCGCTAGTTCCAAAGCGTTTTGATTTGGGGGGGTCTTGTCCCCACAGAGCAGGGCTAGTAGCCACTTCGGGCGTTGATGGAATCGTTTCCTCGGTTGTGTGACGCACACGCGAACAATCTGTTGGGTTACGCAGCCGCTGGCCCAGAGCAACAAGATCAATAACGGGACGCGCTGAAGCCGATGTCCACCGAAGGTTGTCGATGCGTGGCCGGCCGCGCGGCGCGTGGCACACGTTGTATTTGTCGGCCAGATGGCCCACCACAACGAAACGAAAAGCAGAACGCGCACTGCGTGGAACACACACAAACTCAAACACACACACACACACACAATGACCGCCCAGCTATAGGAAGCTGCAGCAGGGCAAGACCAATGGGACGTGCACGATGCAGCACAGGTCAAAGCCCGCCATAATTGCGACGAGAAGGGCCAGCGAAACAAGAGCAAGGGGGGCCAAGCAAAAAAGAGTGGGACACGATAAGTATATACACGCACGCACACACACTTTTTGGCGTCGCGGCCCTGCGCGCGGCGACAAGGCGCAACAGGTCGCAAAACAGCAAATCGCGAGCGCGCATCCAAGACTTCCCGAACACTCAGGGACCAGCAGCCGGCAACCAGAACCATATTTGAGGGGAGGAGTGGATAGAGGAGATTACGGAGAACACCCACACCCACACACGCACACGCAGACGTTGTGGCGTCGCGGCCACGCGCGCAGCAACGCGGCGTAGTCACACACGGAGTCGGAGCGCTCCGAGTCGGATCGACACCACTGCACCTCGCCGGAGGGCGGGCCGGTGGCACGGCGGCGGCGGTGCGCCGCGCTCGTCGCCGTCGTCGTATGTTTGCCCTCGCCGTCGTCTTACTCGCCGTCACCTGCGTCGTCTGCACCGTCGCCATCCTTGCCGTCCCCGTCGTCCTCGTCGTCGTCCTCCGCATCGTCGTCGCCACCGCCGTCGTCGACGTCCATTTCCTCCTACTCCTCCTCCTCCTCTTCCACTTCCTCCTCATCCTCCGTCCATCATCCTACACAACTCCTCCCTGTCGCACCCCCAGACGTGTCGGTAGGGCTGGCTGGGCGTTTCGCCTGAGGCTGCAACAGCTTCTCGGATAGAGGGCGGGTGGTTTTCAAAATGTGGCACGCGCCTTAGCACATGGCACAGTCGTCTCCAAAGCCTGAAACAATTTCACGGATGGAGGCCGGTTGATTTTCAACATGTGGCTCTCGTCGCGTGTCGTTTTCAAAATGTGGCTCGCCTTAGCGTAGCGCGCATTCGTGCTAAACTGTGCAGCAGGTTCACGGATTAGCGCTGTGCACTTTCGTCTCAAAACTTTGCAGCAGCTTCAAGGATTTGTGTGGTCGAAGCCCCAAGAATGGTGTACGTTGCCAGACCCCCCCCGCAGGGCCGGTCGGCCCCGGGGGGTCATCAAACTAAGAACCACGCGACTCCTGGAACGTCGACTCCTGGAGCGTTCGCTCCAGGAGTCGACGGCTGGTGGGAGATACTATAACAGTGAGCAAAAGCAGACAGAACGAGCGGGAGGACGGAAAGGAGGAGAGGGATCAAGATCCCCCCGCCCGCCTCCTCCCGCCTCCTCCCTCCTCCTCCCTCCTCCTCCTCCCCCCCCCTCCTCCTCACCCATCCTCCTCCCCCTCCCCCCTCCTCCTCCCCCAGGATGCCAAGCATTTAAGATTGCCGAAGGGCCAGAGGATCCATGTAGGGGGTGGGTGGACCCACCCCACCCATCAGATGATATACCATAAAGATTGAAAGTTGTGGTTTTGCAGCGTGTGTGGTTTTTATGGTTGCCAGCAGATGCGTGGTTTAGTTTCTGAGTGTCTTGCGTCTCCAGATCTCCCACCCGAGAGGCGTTGTCACATCACGCCGACCAGGAGGTGCTATCTCGAGAGAATCAACAAGGGCCTGTGGCCCAAGTAGTTAAGTTAGAGTGTGCGTGATCCGTCCCATTCTATGTTTGGGGAGGATCCTCAGCCTAATTCAGCCCGAGCAGACGGCTTGGGTGGTGGTTGGGTCATGTTACTTCGCTTCGCGATCGGTCCTATCCTATCCTAACCCCTCCCCCCTCCTCCTCCCCCTCCCCTCGCGCAGCACCTGCTCGGGTGCGCTGGGGCTCTGCGACGAGCGCGAGCCCTGCAGCGGGGCGGGCGGGAGCGGTGGACGGAAGGACCGAGGGGCGAGGAGGGCCCCATTTCTTCGAGAATCGAGAGTCGAGACTCGGGGATCGAAGGTCAGGGGTCGAAGGTCGAGGTTGGGGATCGCGGTTCTATTTTCCGGAGTCGAGGACCGAAGATCAAGGATCGAGGGTCGAGGATCGGGTAACGAGACTCGGGGATGGGGGATCGAGCTTGAGCTTCGAGGATAAAGGAACGAGGATCGGGGATCGGAGTTCGGGGACACAGGTTCGATGGTCGAGGGTCGAAGTTCGGGGATCAAGCTTCGAGATTCGAGGATCCACGATCGAGGTTCCATGCTCGAGGGTTAGGGTTGCGCTCCGGGGATCGAGCTTCAATTTCCGAGGAAATCTTTTCCTGGCGACGACTTGCGCCTGTGCGACCTCTGCTGCAGAATGGGCCCACCAGCCCAGCTCCAAAGTCAAAGGACTACAGCCAATGCAGTTCGAACACAACCAAATTAGAACCTACCTTGGGGCGTGTAAGCGCCTCGGGGCCTGTGAACTCCTGGCACCCGAGAGCGGTCTGAGGTCGCCTAGCGCCTGGAATCGAGATTCGAGGGTCGAGGTTCGAAGATCGAACTTCGTTATTCGATACTCGAGCTTTCAGGTTCGGGGATCCGGGTTCGAGGACCCGTGTTCGAGGTTCGAGGAACGAAGTTCGAGGTTCGAATATCGAGGTACGAGGCTCGAAGGTCGAGGATCAAGCTTTGGGGATCGAGGCTCGAGGTTCGAGGATCGAGGTTCGGGCGTCGGGGTTCGAGATTCGAGGGTCGACGTGCGAGAATCGAGATTCGAAGTTTGGTCCGTGGGGGCAGCTGGCGACCTTTCCCCAAGGCTTCTGGAGGCCGCTGTGGAGGAGGGAAGGGAGGGGGGGGAGCCAGGGGAGGTAGGAGGGAGAGGTGAAGAGAGGATTGTCGAATGGAATGCCAAAGTGTAGGAAGGGCCCTCGGGGCTTCGACCGCCCCGCGGCGAGCGCCGCCACCCTGGAGGGCCTGTGGGCCAGCGCGGCGGGGGCAGCGGGTTCGGGCCCACTAGGGACGCGCCTGGAAAGGAGGAGAAGAGGCGGAGAGGGGAAGCGGCGAGGAGAGGAGGAGAGGGGGAGGGGGAGGGGGAGGCGGGAGGAGGGAGGGGCAAGCCGGGTGCGCTCGCGCCACTTCGGGCATGCCCCCCCTCCCACCCATCCCTTCCCATTGCGTTTTGTTTTGTTTTGCCCAGCGGTGGACCCCATCGTGTCATGCGCAATCGGAAATGGGTGACGCCTTTCATATAAACCAGGGCTCTGCGGGACACCGTGGTGGAAAAGTCGCGGGGGCACACTGCACCCCTTGGCCGCGACGTCAACGCGATATTTCAGCCACGTGTGCCACATGCACACGAGCCACCCCGCACGAGACAGGCTATGCGCGCACTGCCTCATTGATCCAGGTGCCTGAACAACTTCAAGAACCATTCACAACATTGCCACATGGCGATTGAAATATAATCGCCTCCAGGAACCCATCTGTCAGGCACACCCGCAGAATCTTTCAGAATCCACCAGGGCACCTGCAGTGCCAGTACCGAACCTTGCGTTGCCATAGAGTTGTGCTTAACGCGGGTCGTGGGTGGGTGCGTTTGTGAGAATGTTCCCCTGGTTGAACAATGTTATATTTCAGCTCCAAGGCTCTCACTGTGGACACGCATCGGCACTTCTCAGGACGAACGGACTTGTCGCTTGGATCCGCGAGGCGCTGCCAGGCGCCCCCCATGCCTCATACGATGATCCATCGTGCTCCCCTCCGTCGTGCTTGGCGGACGCGCCAGGCCAGGGCGAGGCGAAAGATGCGACCTGACTGCCCCCCCCCGCTCCCTCTGCTGCCATCAGCGGGATCACACAGACGCAGCGTCCTTCTCCGCTGATGTATGTGGAGTGCTCGTTGCGGCCCCATGATCGACCCCCCGTATACACCAAGCCCTTTCTGGAGAGGGGACGATAAGGGAAACCCGCGTGAAAACTCTGAGCACGCGAGTCTCGTATACACCAAGACCCCCTTGGTTTTCACCGTATACACCAAGGTAGGTCTCACATAGCGGCTAGTGCGAGCTCGGATTGGATAGCTCCCGGGGTCTGCAAGCACCGATTGGGGAATAAAGGAGACGCCAAGAAAAGCGAAAGAAGGAAGTGGAGGATGGGCAGCAAGAGACGGGACTACATCCCCCGTCACTGCGGGGTCTCGCGGAGAGCTAGAGCCGGACGCCAGGCCCTGGAGCCCGAGATCTCGCAAGCAACGTCAAAGGGAGTCCGCCGTAAACGGCGCCCGAACCGCAGTTCGGCCCCGCGCTCTCATGGTTTTCGCCGCCGTCCTCCTCCTCCCTCCCCCCATCATCACCCTTCCGACCTCATCAACTTACCTCTCCTTCCCCTCGTTACCCTTCTCCGCCTCCTCCGCCTTCCCCATCAGTGTTTTATGATGCTGTCGCTCGCCCGAAGGCGGGGGCAATTGCCACGGACGGGGCCCATGCGCAATGCCAGGTCACATAGAGTTTTAGCCATGGGCTCGCTTACGCCTCCCCCCGCGGAGCAAATCATGGGCCGATGTTGCATCGATGAGCCCGTCATGCCCCATTGCCTCAGGCCTGATTTTTCCGCGCAGCAACCTGGTGTATACCAGATGTGTCTCAGAGGACAGAGGGAGCTGCGTACGTTGGAGAAGGAGGTGGCGGATGAGTGTCTCCCAGGGCCCGATACGTGAAACCCCTAAGGATTCTCCGTTCTTATCTGGTGCTCGAAATTCTTCCTGGTGATCCAGGCTAAAGAAGGTAGGAACATCATAAAGCTAGGTGCTCTCGCGCCGCATCTGACATCCTTTCCTTCCCACCAGGCCCGTCCCATTGCGATTATCGCTCCGTATCCCCAGGCACGTGTCATAGCCGACCTGGAGGTCTCCCCCGAAAACCCGACGCATTATTTGAGCAGGGACCGACCGTCCCGGCATTCCTGTAAGCCTACCACGCAATTTCCCTAGAACCCACAGATGCTCCAAGAACTAAAGCAATGTTCTAAGAACATACGCCCGATGTGTTCAAACATGACAATCCCAACCAGAAATGTTCTAAGAACAGTTCGTTGAAACCACAATGGGTTTTTAGAACATTCTTTGACAAGCCTACAGGCGAGCCAGGACGCTTCGCCACTGCTCGAAACTGGCGCAATTGGGAAAGGGAAGCTGCATGCAAGGAGGAGGACGAGTAGCAGCAGCAGCAGGAACTGGAGTCAACGGAGCGGGAGGAGCCGAATGACCAGTGGAAGACGGGGGAAGGGGAAATGAGGGAGGCAACAACGATGAAACAGGACCTGGATCTAGAAGTGTGAGCACCATTCTGAACGATGGGAATACAACGCAGATTCAAACATGAGTCTCACGCAACAGAGGTAGCAACATTTTGAAGAACCCGAAGCAATCGGATAAAAACAAACATAGGCAAACACCTTTGTCCAATCCTGTGTAAAAACAATCATGCGGAGAGAGCCGGCTATCTTCTAGAGGAGAGTCATATTCATAGTGTGTAACTGTTAGGTAATCGTAGAAGGGAAAAGGGGGGGAAAAGGGGGGGGAAGGAGGAAGAGGGAGACGAGAAGTACATACGCAGATGCAGAGTCGGAACTGAGGGCACAGAGGAACCATCCCCAGGAGGGTAGCGTGGGCGGACTCGGGGCTCGTGAGGGGAGGTTCGGGAGAACGAAACCGAATCAGGGGCCCCCTGGACCTTGCCGAGAGCGCGCTCAAAACAAGATCTCGAAGCGAATCCAGCCGTGGCAACGAAGGCACCTCCAGGACCCCCGCAAAGGCGAAGACCACGGAAGGGCATCGAATCTGTGCTGGACTTATCCTCTGAGTCGCTGTTGGACAACATAAACGGGGAATAGAAAGTAATGCGTTTGGTTGGCAATACTTTGCCCCATGCTGCTCAACCAGTTCGAACCCCGTGCAACATGCACCCATTGAGCGCATGATCTGCCACCATCGTAAGACTGATACATTGCCATCGCCCCGTGCTCCGTTTGCCCTGCATGTCGCTGGTCTGTCCGTCGTTAGAGTCTGTCGTGCGCCGTGGCCGTGCTACTGGCTGGGTGGATATTTTTTCATAACGGCACCAAAGCACAAACAACTACCGAACAACACATGCATGCTGTTGCGCACTAGCCGCATTCCAGCGGTTGGGTCCCACCCCCTGCACTAATCCAATGAAATGACCCCATGCGGTGCGATCCCCTTGGGTCATCCACCCCTCCAGTTGAAATCTACTAATTCGGAGCACGGGTGAAGGGCGTTTCGCTCAGGGCATCCTAGGGGATTGTCTGGTTCGGCCTGGTTTGCCAAGGCGCCCCCCCGCGGCTTCGCCCGAGACGCCTCGCGCGGTCGCGCTTGAAGCAGCATCACAGCTTGCTGCTGGATGTTTCATGATGCGGGCTCGGCTTCGCGTGGTGCAGGCGCGCAGCGCTCAGGAATGCTCCATGCCGGACGGCGTCCGTGCCCTCGGTCCAGGGTTCGTGCCCTCGGTCCGTCCACCTGGGACGCCCTGGCGCCTGCAGAGAGAGAGAGAGAGAGAGAGAGAAACAACAGAAAACAAACATAAAAAAGAGAAAGAGAGAGAGAGGCACACACACACACAAACACACACACGCACACGCACACGCACACGCACACGCACACGCACACGCACACGCACACGCACACGCACACGCACACGCACACGCACACGCACACGCACACGCACACGCACACGCACACGCACACGCACACGCACACGCACACGCACACGCACACACGCACACGCACACGCACACCGCACACGCACACACGCACACGCACACGCAGCACACGCACACACACGCACACGCACACGCACACGCACACCACACTCACACGCACACGCACACGCACACGCACACGCACGCACTTCACACGCACGCACT